GGCCTGGTTTGATGTTTTGATCTCTTCTGGTGATATTCGTGGGTGTTCTTTTGGTGTTCATCAAATTAAAGTTTATCAGATGATGTACGTCAGTTGCAAAGAATTGTGAACCCCCCCCCACCCCCAAAAAAAACATGGAGCATGCTCTCCAGTTTCAAGGGCGGGCATCCCCATAACCAATGAGCATGTCTCCACATATTTTAAGGGGGACATTCCCCGAGGGGATGTGTCTTATGTCATTTCTCCCTAAATAGAGTGCGAGAGGAAGAGCAGATTTGTGGTGGGGAAGAAAAGAAAAATCGAGTGGAAATTCCTTGAGAGATTTTGAATAGAGAAAAATCAGAGAGAGAGAGAGCTTGTGAGTTGTACAAGTTCTGGTATTCTCTCATAGTGAAAACCCCTTTTCCGTGCCGACGTAGGCAAGTTTGCCGAACCACGTAAATCTCGTGTCTTAACTGTGAGTTGCTTTTGCTTGTAGGTTCCCTCGACAAGTTAGTCCTAAAACTGATGAGAGGTTGAGCTGGAACAAGAGTTGGCTATTGCTTGTAGGTTCCCTCGACATTCAGTCCTAGAACTGCTGAGAGGAAGAGTGTATATCTCACTTTGTTGAGATATTTTACTTCTGTTCTTGTTCCTTTGTGAAACGAAAATATAGAGATTGACTTGAGCTTTTGTGAAAACAAAAGCCAAGGTTTTCTCTCGGGTGATATCGCTTCCGTGACGTGAGGGCGTGACTCTACGCCCAACTCCAGTCATGCTGGTTTAGTTCATAGGATGACATAGGATCTTAAACAGGGATCAAACACCTCTTTGAAAGTAGCATGGGCCATTCATCAACAGGTACACTTACCCTCAAAAAAACACACAAATACACACAAACCCTCTCTATAAAACCCCTAGCCCTCTTCTTTCCTCACAAACACCATCCTATATCATAAACCCCATACTCACATTCTCTAAACCGCTAGTATTTCTCCTGAAAATGACCCCAACAATCTCCCACTTGAGCCTAGCCGTGGTCCTCACCATCACTTTATGGGCTGGAGCCTCGGCCCAATCAACCAGCAATTGCATGTCAACCATCCTTAGCCTGGCTCCTTGCCTGAACTACATCACCGGCAATGCCTCAACTCCGACGAGCTCATGCTGTTCGCGGCTGGCAACTGTTGTTAAGTCAAAGCCGATATGTCTGTGCGCCGTTCTCAAAGATGGAGTTCCTTCACTCGGTATTACCATTAACCGGACTCAGGCACTGCAACTTCCAGTAGATTGTAAAGTGAAGACTCCGCCAGTGAGCCGCTGCAATGGTAAGCAACATTAGAAGTATGCATACTTGCATTTCACAGACAAATAATCCAGTAAATCTTATCCACTAACAGCTGGCCGCGATTGTATCCCTTCGTAGTAGTAAGCTATTCCTTTTTTTTGCTGTTTTGAGCCTGTTAGTCTGATAGCAGGAACTTTTGGAGTAAGGTTCTCCCCATTGTGGCTAGGCAATGGAGAGACCTCTCAATCAATCATAAACGTTTATTATTTAGTGTAACTTTTTTAATTTACTGCGTGCGAAAATCAAGAATGAGCGCATACCATAAAAGATGACAATAGAAGTATGACTACTGATCGACTACCCACATTGAAAATGCAGATGTTGGTGTCGGTCCTGCTACGTCCCCATCTCCTGCCTCGTCGATCTCTGGTATGAGACTAAACAACATGACCTTTAACGATAATCAAATATTCGAGCAACACAAACTATGGTGAAAATAAACTCTACACTTTACGCCGCTCATATTTATTTAAAGCTGCAATTTCTGTGATGTAGCAGGATCATTAACTGGTCCAGCAGCCCCACCAAGCAGCACAGCAGGCAGAAGCAGCCGCTGGTCCTAATTCTGATGGGAGTTCTGCCCAGACACCGATCTTTCTCGTTTTCTCCTCCCTTTTTATCGCAGTTTACATCGTGACATCTCCCGACATATTCTGAAGCTTGCTACTCTATGTGTACGTAGCTTGATTGCTAAGTAGTACAAATATGTGTTTGGTGTACGATGTTATTGTATTCTTTTCCTTTTTACGCTGGTTTGTGTAATCCTATTTAAGACACTCTGCAGTATACTAAATGAATAAAGAGTGAGTTATTCTTGGTGTTTGTTTCTGAATCATTATAGTTTTCTAACAGTGGAAGGAAGGAAGATCATAAAGTTGAAATCTTGTACTATCAAAATTCAAATGCAAGAAGAGTGCACATGAAATTGGTGAACACGCTGACTGCATTATTAGAAAAAACAAAGTGGTTATTACATCTTGGTCCTTTAAATCTTTCATATTTTAAAATTAATCTGTCAAACCATCGATATCCCAATAAGCCCCACCCTTTTATATGATTTTGCAGTCATAACTTTTCCATTTGAGTTTACATCCAAACCTTATAAACTCATTTTAAAATTCCTACCTTCTTTCACAATTATCATATTCTCTTCCTTAGCCCCCTCCACAAGACAGGAACTTTTGTTAAGAAATTGAAAGGGAAAATTGACAAAGGAACTAATTTGGAGTAATTTAAATAACTCGGGGGGGCTTAAGTAGCAATTTCAATGATTTGAGGGACAATTAATTTTTAAACTATGAAATATTCAAGGGAGCAAAATTTCAAAACCCAAAAAACTTCATCATTTTGATTCTTCGGCCTTGCTGAGTGCAACTCTTACAGGATCTGTTAGTAGTAGGAGAAGCAGCTCACCAGTTTAACCAAACCCCTACGTGAACTCAATGACCTCCCCTTTCAAACCTCCTCTTTATAAACTCGCCCTCCCCGTCTCTCTAATCTCAACGAAAAACACATCACTTAGCCACACGTATAGCATCGAATGGATTCGACCAGGTTCAGAGTCGGTCTGGTCACAATCCTGGTTGCGACGCTATGGGTGAGCTCATCAGCACAATACAGCAGTTGCGCCTCTGCGCTCATCAACCTCTCTCCTTGCCGAAACTACATCACAGGCGACTATTCGACTCCATTGGACTCACGCTGCTTGCAGCAATACTCTGTATATATACACATCCCGAGATAACCATATTCTGTCTGTATTTTGTGATTATAGGTAATGGAGGCGGTCTAAGAAGTGCACCAACTGCACCGTCTTCAGTCTCACCATCAGTCCCTGCTACTCCCTCGGGTATGATAACAATTTAATGTCGAAAAAATAGAACATATTTGCAATTAAGATCGTCGATTTTGCAGTTCAAACCTGAGGCATAAAAATTTGTTATGTATTTTGGAGCTTTTACCCAGCCGTTTTTGCGTATACAGGTTATGGTTCCCAGACTATTCCGACTGGAGGTTTGCGATCCTCTAATGGAAGTTCTCTTCGGATAACATTCTCTATCTGCTTCTCTCTTCTATTCATCGTGATTTATCTTTCGGCGCCTCTGAACAGTTTATAAACCTCGCCGTATTTTATTCTAGATCAAGTTATCATGATGATCAATGTGTTGTTACATGCTGAATGTCGATACAATATGTACTTGAGCTAATGTCTTCTCAGGTGTATGTGTACTTATTTATTTACCCCTGTATCAGATATTTGAAGAGTCTGAATGTATCTCAAATACTGCTCCATGAGCAGAACTGTAACCATGAGAACTGGAGGAGTCAGTCCCAGATTTCCCCTGTTTACACTGAACCGCACAAAGCTACAGAATTTGTTCAGAAGCTTTCAATTAGAATTGCATATGACATCATAATCCTATAGGGAGCTCTGTACTTCACCAGTCGATGAATCTTATTTAGGGCAATTTCTTCATTTTATCAAATGCTCCTTTGCTAGTTTACGTGACAGTTTAAAATGAAAAATATTTGAAAATGAATGGCATAGACATTAGCCATCATCTACTATCCAATTAGTTGGTTTTTCAAGCTCAAAGTTTTGATATCATATATTCACAAACAAAGGTCTCAACATAAAAAATGTAAAGCTAATGCCAAAGAGAACAAGCAAGTCTGCATCATTGAAATATTAAAAAGGAGAGAGCACAGAATGTCATCCAAGGAGCAGGTAATTCTAAACAAAAGATCCATTGTACAAAACAAAACATATGACTAAATCATAAATTACCCATCAAGGTAAATCCAAACTCCAATTTTAATACATGTAACTCAACGTAGAATCTATGCAGTCTTCACAAACATTTCATACTACCATTATAAAACCTACCACTCATCTCCCTACCAGAACACAAAACAAAAAACCCTAAACAAAATGGCACAAAGAGCATTCTCCCTACTCTCACTCACAATTCTTGCTACAATTCTGTTTATGGGTGCATCGGCCCAATCAAACAGTTGCAACAGCGCAATCGTCAGCCTTGCCCCGTGCCTCGACTACATCACGGGCAACTCCACCACTCCATCGAGCTCCTGCTGCACACAGCTGAGCTCGGTGGTTCGGTCTGAGCCACAGTGTCTCTGCATGATCATCAATGGTGGAGCTTCGTCGATGGGGATCAATATTAACCAGACTCAAGCCCTGGCACTTCCTGGCGCTTGTAATGTTCAAACTCCACCTGTGAGCCAGTGTGGTAAAGATCTTTACGCGTAACAGTTCTTTGATCATTATAGTCTGTGTTGCTGATATTTTTGTTTTTATATCGTGATTGCAGGTAACAATGGATTGTCACCAGCCGATCCTCCTTCAGGTATGAGAACTTAAAATGAATTAAAATATCTCTGGACCATATTTGAAATCGAATCTAAGAAGCAAAAATTACCCTCTAAAGCTTCAATTATGGAACTATTGAAGTTGAGAGATTGATGGCAAACATATGATGTTGATTGCAGGTGAGTATATTGTGCAGGTACCGATCTTTCTCTTATTCTCCCTTTTGTTTGCTATGGTGTATCTTTCTACATCTCCCGCTGGTTACTAAGACTCGAGCCATTACAATTCCATAGTTTTTCTCATGTATTATTATCAGCTATCAGAAATGGTATGTGGATGTATATTGTCTCTCTTCTATCAGTAGTAAATTTGTGAAGGCTCCCATGAGGCTATTTTGGAAGTGACAGGTTGTTTCACCTCATCCTATGACGAGCAATAATATGTGATGTTTTTCTGTTGGCAATAAATTGCTAAAAACTCTTCCATCTAAAAATGGCTGACAAACCCTTTCCCAAGTCAGTGCGCTAAAAGTCCGTCAAGAAAACGAACTTGATTGAGCTATGTCAGCAGGGGATTGCTCCGATTCACTTCCTCTCGCTCAGCTCTATAGGAAAGGAATACGGGCTATTGGTTAATCGTTTTCAAGCGTGACTATCGATCAATGTAGTTGTGAGTGTTAGGTGGCCTGGCGCTCGAAGGATGAGACCTTAGAATGAGCATTTGACCACATCCAAGCGAGTGAGCCTTACCTTTAACGGCATGTTTGGGTGATCACTTATAAGGGAAGGGAAGAAAGGTTAAACTTTCCATTCCCTTCCCTTCCCCTCTTTTACCCCCAATTTAGGGGGTAAGATTTTAGTGCAAAATTTTTTTAACTTCCCCTCCTCCCAAACAAGGTTAAATTCAAATTTCCCTTCCCCTTCCCTCCTCTACTCTACATCCAAACACACAATTAAAGTAGAGGGGGAAGGAAAGAAAGGCCGATAACGGGAAGGTACATTAAGTGAGGTGGCCACCTTTGTACCACCAAGTATGGGCCCAGCTAGCGACCGTGAAGCGGTGCTCCTTTTTTTATAGGGCTTCCGACGATACAGGCTCAGAACCTGGGAGAACAACACCGGAGTCAATTTCTCTGGCTTGCTGGTGAAGTGTTATCCTCAAACTATAAAGTTAAGATCCAACCGATCTCTATGTAGTTGAACTGAAAAACTGAAAAATCTAATCGACCATTCACGACATGAAATTTAAATCAAATTCATCAATATCTTATTCATCGAGTAGAAAGACCCTCCCCTTGTTAGAAAATCTAAATCAAATTTAATAGGAAAGTCCTCTTCCTATTAGAAAATTCAAAGTAAATCCATCTAATAAGAAACTCTTGATAAAGTAATTTCCTTGCTAGAAAATCCAAATCAAATCTATCTAATAAGAACGCCCTCTTCCTCTGAGAAAACTCAAATAAGATTCATCTAATAGCAAAGTCATCTACCGAATAGAAAATTCAAATCAAAATCATTTAAGTAAACGAAGACAGCCGACCTCTTGTATTGATCATTTGTCAATAGTTTGCATCTAGTTACTTGTTCATTATCAAGGAGTATTCAAGCACTAACAACAGCCTTAAAGGTTTATTGTTGCATAATTTATCAAAACGATCAATAATATAAACAAATTTTTTTATAATCTAATATCAAAAATGGCATGAACCTAAATTCTCCTACACTCAACAACAATGAATAATATGTCATGAGAGACAAAGGAATCAGCCACTAGGGCCGTGCAAACGGTGGGTCGGTTCGGTTTTTATCAAATTTTAAAAAATCGAACTGAACCATCCATTATTCAAAACCGAACCGAACTGTTGCAAGTTGGTTCGGTTCCGTTTGTTCGATAATTTGTGAGAATGTGTATTTTTTTTATGATCTAATTTGTAGTCCCGCTGAAAATCTAACTTTAATCATAAAATCTAATTAAACCAATTATTTCTCACTAATCTACAATTTAGTAGCATGCATCAAGAACTAAAAAGTTTAGATCTTTCCCCCTGAAACTGAAAGCATAGATTCAAAATTAGGGTTTTCAGTTTATACATCCACTACGGGTGCGGGTGTCCCCAAAGCAGGAGATGGATCCTAAGGAGATGGTTCGGCCTCGGCCATGAAGACGATGATGAGTGGCTGCTCGGCGGCGAGTGAAGGAAATTCGAGTCGGCGACTGAAAGAAATTCAAGTCAGCGACAAGACGGCGAGTTACAGGCGACGACGGCGAGTCGGAGTCGACGAGAGAAGCTACGCCTGCGGCCCTGGCGCTGCGCCGATGCGCGCTGCAGTGCGATCTTGCGTTGCGGCCCTGCGACTGCGCCGGTGCACCGTGGAGTGCAGAGAGTGTGAGAGAGTGCAGAACTGCGGACAAAGAGAAGAAGTGCGGCTGCGGGCTTGGATTTAGGGTTTAGGTATTGAGATTTGAGGGATTTTAGTGAACGGGTCGGGTATGGTTTCTAATGGGTACGGGTTAAAAATTATATTGTTATTAGTGATGCGGTCGGTTCACGCAGTTCGGGTTGAAAAGTTTTCAACCCGATCCGAACCAACTTACAAACAAAACCGACCCGAACTGCTAATTTTCGATCGGTTCGGTCGGTTTTTTCGGTCTGGACCGAACCATGCACAGCACTATTAGCCACAGCCATCAGTATAGAAGACCAAAAACAACTCTTCCAAGAAAACAGGAAGGATAAATTCATTCTTGATTATGACCGGATTTATAACTGACAACAGAATTCGTATGCAGCTGCAGAAAAACTACATTACACACCAATGGTAATCCAGGAAGCAAGATCAGGCACTATGACGACTATACCATTGAGAACAAATAACAACAAAGGCTAGCCCCAGTTTCCATGGTCATAAAAAAATTAAGATTAATTTGATAGTTCTTAACAATTGAGGCCTCCTACTCTTGGCTGCCAATAATGTAAGAAAATAGATCTTTGTAAGCGCTATTACTTGCAAACATGAATTGCAAACTTGTTACTTATTAAAAAAAGAAGAAAAAGAAGGAAAAAAAACCTAGCCTAAATTCATCCTCACAACTGAGTTAGCTAAGCAATTAATGCTCATTATCTTAATTATGTTAAGTATCAAAGCTTCTCCTTCAATTATCTTCAAAACCAAAGAGCAGGAGATGATGTTTAACTCAGTAGATTTGCATAAAGCTGAACAATAGCACAATAAAAGCAAAATAACGTACATAACCAGTTTCTAATTGAAGATGGAAGGTAAACATCATATAATCTGTCACAGAAGAGATTCACGAGGATCATTCAGAGGGAGAAAAGAAATCCACCAGTTCAAGCTATATCCTTGACTGATTCACGCCAAGCATACTCCCGTGCCCCATCCTTGTCAACAATCTTGATCACGAAGTTGGGAGGTGCCACAACCAAGCGAGACCTGATTTCCAGTATGCACTTGTCCACCAGTTCAATAGCTTCTTCTACTGACATCCCACTATGATAATGTCTGTCCATCAAAGACAAGCAAAAGTACGATCCATATCCGAAGGCACCCTTGTCGATCTTGTGGAGGGTTGCGATGTAGTCAATGTAGTATAGTGAAGGACCAATGTCCTTGTCGTATCCCGCCAGTAAAATGTTAACCATATACGGGTTCTGGAACACCAGAAAGCATTCGGATGAGCATTACTTGATTATTATTCTAGCAGGTTGGTTATACTCGAACAAGTAAAATTGCAAAAAATACAAAAACAAAGAAAAACCTCATATCAACTAGAATGACACGATTCAATCAGTGGTTTAAATATTGGATGTTAGTGATCTGTCATACGAAAAAAATCCATATCGAATGGCGGATATCCAGATATATAGGAGATATTTAATAAACATCGCGGTATCATATTGGATAATGTCTATATACATATCATGGATATTAATACTTGATTCACTAAAGAATGGAACTGGAAAGAAAAATGATATCAATTGCAAAACTTTTGCCAAAGAATTTGGTCTAAATTGAGCTCTAATTCTTTTTCATGGTAATTTACATAATTAGTAAAGCAAATATTTATTTGGGTTTAGACTTCAAGTAGACCATAATTCCAAACCAAATCTTTTAAAACAAATAATAGTCCAAGTCGATGTTGCAACATTTTATCAGATTTTTTTTAGGATGAAATGTTGCCTGGTAAATCTAGAAATTAATGATATATTTGGGTTTAGACCTCAATTGAACCATAACTTCAAACCAATCTTTTAAAACAAACAAAAGTCCAAGCCGACATTGCAACATATCAACTGGTTTTTTGAGGACATAATCTCCCACGATATATCAGAAAATTCATGATATATCTCACAAAGATTGCTAAAAAGCGGGAAAGGGTATTGAGACCTTGCCATATTGCGGCATGCTTTAAAGTGATATATCAACTGATGTATCAGACATATCGAGGATATTTCAAACAACAGATACAATTATCATTTACAGGCATAACAATCCACGCTTTATATTTTTCAGGTATAAATAGAAGCAAAGGAAGGTGGTGAAACTATGCCCTAGGTTTGTGACCCTCTAAAAGACCCAGATGAAAATTAGACTCCACCTCCACTGCAGCTATGTTCTCTTCTTAAAGGTTGTGAACAGGAGACCACAAGACTAGAACGAGGGAAGGTATACATAAACGACGAAATGCTTAAAATGAACAGGAACAATTGCCTTAATTTTCCAAGTTGGAGCAAGTAGAAATAACAGTTTCCATCAGATGATGACGCCTAAAAGGCAAGAAGATCCAACACATCTCTTGAATATAGAACAATTAGAAGCACATGATGAACAGGAAGAATTATGTTGATTTTACCAATGAGATCCATTGGTTCATAATGCTTACCTGAATAGCTAAGATGAATTGAAATTTGGTGCAGCAACTTTTAAACGAGTGAGAAATAAAATAGCATTTTGAAGACATGAAATTATGTTATTAACCCTCTGAGGCCAAATACACCAATACATGCATGGAATTATCATAGACACAAGTATCTTGAATCTTATTTAAAATTTACGCTTCCACAAATCACTGTGCCATTACTAAAGCCAACTACACATAAACTTCACGAAGCCGAATAGTATGTTATATGAAATATACAACCATATCAGAACTTGACTTCAAATATCAAACCAGAAAGAAACAGGACAGTGAGAAAGAGTAGGACAAAAATGGAGATCTCTAAGGGTAAATAGGTTCAAGTCATAAAGTACAGTCAATTTTTCTGTTCATGGATACCGATATAGAAAGACAAGACATTATATTTATACAGTGTATGAAGGATCAAAATGAATCTGGCTTAGTAGTGCTAGGATCCTAATCATAGTATTAGCACGGTTGCATGAAAAATAGTCTAGGAGGACGATGCAGAAAGGAAGAAGACTGTTTGTCCGCTGTGTTATACGAAGTGATGTTTTTATCTTATATAAGTAGTTTGACCTATAGGCGGTTCTCCTATGGCCTTAACAACTTAATAAAGTGCAAATACAGTTTTTGTAGTCCAAAGCAATTCTTTGGCTCCTTCTACAAAAGAACCAACATGCATTCACAAGAATCACAAATCACAAGAACTTCAACAATGCATGCCTGAACCAGGTAATCAACTCTTAATTAACAACAGTTTCCACTGTTGTTGAACTGCATCAGGACGAAGCAATGAGTATTTTTGCCTCTAACCATGAGACTCTGATGAAATGTCCAATTGTGTAATTCAGTAAGAACCAAAATGTGTAAGGATGTGCGCATCTAAAAGATCAAATTAATAAGAGAGAAGCATCCAAAGCCTAACGGAAATGCTTCCGCTTATTCATGACGTTAACAACTTATTGGACATAAGGTTCTGGACCCAAATTAAACATCTCAAATACTCAACCCCAAGCAATCTAGATGCAAAACATACACTGAGACCTAGATCAATAGTCAAGGGGTCATAGTATATACTACGTTCAATACTCGACCAAGTCTTTTATCAAAAAGATTTGCAAAGAAATAGAAACGTAACATAGAAAGAAACCACAAATTCAACCAAATTCCAATTTTGACAAGTTCGGCCCCAATTAAGATATAAAAGAAAGTACACTAAACAAAAAAAAAAATCATTCGCAGAATGTCACCATGACTGCCGGTAATCAAATAAGGCAATAAAACTCTAACCCTAGAAACAAGATCAACATCAAACCCTAGAAGAAAAGACAGTACCTTTCGCAGCGCGGTCGCAAGCTCATTCCTCGTAAAATTCGCCGCCGCCGACGTGGTCAAAGGAATCCCATTTCGAAACTGATACAAATGGACATTCTTCTGAATAAACTCCGTGAACTGAACCCTGCGATCACCAAAACCAATCAATGAACAGATCCAGAACCCTAAAAAGGTGATACAAGAGGCAAAGGCGGTAACTTTACCGGTCGCCGCCCTCGCCTGAGGCGCCGAGGAGCTTGTGAGAGTCGAGGATCATGACCTTGTCCTCGTTCGATTTGTGGACGAGGATGCTGTGGACCGCTGACGTGTCGGCGGCGACGATGGAGAATCCGTCGCCGACGAGGCCGAAGACGCACTCCATTAGGGTTTGAGTTGATGATTGAGAGTGAAGAGGGAAGGAGAAGGAATTGGGGGAACAAGTAATTTTGTTGGAGAGGAGAGATTTTGGGTGCTTGAGGAACAAGAAGGTAGAGATTGGGCCGGATCTGTTGCTTGAATACAGACCGACCCGGTTTATTGGTCAAACTGATAATGATGGGCATTTGTTGAATATGCTAAACTAGAGATTCTTTTGGGCTTCTAGAGCCCATTAGGACTCTCCGTTTTCCCGCTAGAGCCCATTAGGACTCTTCGTTTGCCCGTCCGCCCAGGACTTGCCTCGTCAGATAGTAGAAAATGGTACCATAAAGATTAAACATAAAACATTTCAAATTACCCCCCTTCACCCATGGATTATTACCCTATTCTATACAGGTTCCTATAGAACCTCGACTCCAGGAAATGAGTAAAAAACCAAGTCAGAAGTTTTTTTTTTTTTTTTTGCGGGGGGGTGTTACAAGAAAAAAGGTCGGAAGTCCTTTTTTAGTTCTTAAATTTTGGCTTCTTTTTCTAGGAGAAGCGCCAACCATTCACGAGAAAAGGTATCTAATCAACTGGGTTCACGGAACACATTAAACTTTGGGGCAATTGTTTTTCAATCAATACAAAACATGAGGGTTTTTTGAAAATTACGTTGATCCAAATATTCTTCTCTATTTTAGACTAGTACCATATATGTAATAGACTCGGTGAATGGAAGTTTTCTTAGGGTGGTGCTACAGGGACCCAAAAACATGGGACCCTACATAGGACAGGTGAGGTGTTGGCTCCATGTCCCATGATGCACTGTTCAGTGCATCATGGGGCAGGGAGCCGACACCTCATCTGTCCCATGTAGGGTCTCATGTTTTTTTGATCCCTAAGGCATTTTTCGTTTTTTTAATTATCTTAACGAATGAGCTAAAATATTTTTATGCACACAATTAAGCTGCCCTCTAGTATTTGTGAAAAAAAATTGACAAATGCAATCTGAATTTCTTTCGGGGAGGTGATGGCAATCGTCGAGAAAGTGCACTTCGTGGCATGGAGGGATGTATGTAAAACCGAAGGCTTGTGGTGGGTCGGGTCTCAAGCAAACTTTAGTCTCTAACAAAGTGGGTAAGAAATTTTCTAATTATTGGATGGGCCATGATGGGATTGGAGTATTTTACCTCAATGGCTTCCTCAAGATATTCAACTTCATTTAGTTCAAAAAAAGATATTCAACTTCATTTTCGAAGCTTTTTCTTTTTCTTTTTTCTTTTTTTTGGTGGAGGAAGAGACGGATGATGTTTTGATATGGTGTCATTTTATAAACGGTGCTTTCTCGGCTCAATCTACCCACAAGACTTTGTCATTAATGGAAAATTACGTTTAAGATGAGGAGCGCGCTCGATGGCGGCGTCTATGGCATGCCGAGCATATTCCACGCATTGCCTTATCTCTCATCTGGCTAGGGTGACGGGGTTGAACTCTCACTAATTGGAAAAATTTTCGAAGAAATATTGGTTCGTATGGGGGTTGTTGTCGGTGTCCCCGTCAAGTGGAAGACTGCGATCATGTTTTTCGTCGATGTATATTGATATCCTCTCCTTAAATGTAATTATTAAGCCCTAAAAAAATTCTCGAAATGTTTTAGTCTGAATTTTTAGGATTGGATTGATTGGAATATTTCACATATGGACAATGGTGTCTCTGTAGAAATGGTGAAAATATTGGTAAAGTTCACGAAATTTGAAGCGGAAAGGCATTTGGGTACTTGACGGTCGACCGCGAGCTTTGGCGCGGTCGACCGCCAAACGTGCACGAGTACAGGAGTTTCTGGAGTTCTGGTCGGTCGACCCCGAGGTTAGGTCCGGCAAACGTGCACAAGTACAGGAGTTTCTGGAGTTCTGGTCGGTCGACCCCGAGGTTAGGTCCGGTCAACCGCTAAACCCTGAAATAGTTTTCTGGAATTCTATCGTTCTGTCCTGTCGACCGCGAGCTTTGGCGTGGTCGACCGCCAGTCGGGTTTGGGCATGGGCCTTATTTCCTGTTCTGATTTGGTTTGTATTTTGATATATATTTAAACATGATTTTAGGGTTAAGTTAATCAGAGATTTGTGATTGTACTGAACATATTGAGAGGGAGAACTTGTGAGTAGGTTGAGAGATTTGGTTTAGGGTTTATTTGAGTGATTTTGTGTGATTGTAACCCTTTGTACTCTCATTGATTCAGTGGAATCTCCTCATCCTCTCCCCGTGAACGTAGGCAAATTGCCGAACCACGTATATCTCTGTGTTTGGTTTGATTTGTCGTATTTCGGATTGGATTGTGCTCTGTTTTCGTCAAAAATTGGTTTTGCTGTGGAATTCATTATATCTTCGGTCGATTATAATAAATTCAAAAGAGATAGTCTTTTTATAAGACCTCTTTTACACAACAAAATAAAAAATTACAACTCTTGAGAAACAAACGCAGGATCGTTGTTTGGATCGCTGCTTGCGTGGGATCTTTGCCTGTGCCGGAGGTGCGTTAGCCCGTGGACCACCAAATCACAGATTCTGATCGAATCGTGAGGGGTTTATGATTCTGACTTCGTTTATCGAAGTGAGAAATTAAAACGATATCTTATCAAAGTAAGATAGTCGTTCTTCTTGAAATCAAGTCAAAGCCTGAATATCAAGGAGTAGCCAGAAGCTCAAGAACTCTGCTCTCTCTCTGCTCTGGATTGCTCTGAAGTGCTCCAAATGATCAGCCACTTCAAAAATGGCCTTCGGGGGGTATTTATAACCCTTGGATGAACAGTGCTTCCGAGACAGTGTTTACTGTCTCGGCGGGCGAGACAGCAAACACTGTCTCGGGAACAGTAAATACTGGCGGAGAGACAGCAAACGCTGTCTCGCGCGGAGAGACAGCAAACACTGTCTCGCACGGAGAGACAGTAAAGACTGTCTTTTCTTTGATTTTTTGGATGACTTCGTTTTGAGCTGTATTTGGATATCTTTCAGCATTTTTTGACGCCTACAGATACCCCCTCCAAAGTTTTCCAGACTCATTCTTTTATAGAGGAGTCTGGGATACTTTGGATAAGATAGATTTTTCTTACGATCTCTTCAATACTTGGTTGAGTAGATTGTGTAGAAGGATCCGTAAATAATTTCAACTCCTGATCTATTCATCCCTTAGTCTATTCAGTTCTTTATAGAATAGCTAATACTCTTCCGGTACTGCGTTTATCGCTCGACCGTTATCGAGATCTTGAATCGAAGCTGGTATCTCTTTGACTTTTGTCACCAAATTGATATGGGTTCAGCTTTTGTCACCGAATTGAGACGTCTATTGAGAGTTCGTCAGGTTATCCTTAAGAATATTCAGAATAATATTCTCCAAAAACTGCCTGTCGAATGTAGGAAAACAGTTTAGACTCGTGTATCTATTGGAGTATTCTGGTCTCTTTTTTGTTGGTAGAGATGAACCCGAAATCAGAGAGGAAGAATTTTATATTCTATCTCCTGGTCTCTTTTTTGTTGGTAGAGATGAACCCGAAATCGGAGAGGAAGAATTTTATATTCTATCTCCTGATGCAAAGGAAACTCAAAGTGGAATATCCACTTAGAGAATCTGAACAGGTTTGAATAATCCTGACTGTCATAAGGTTTGATTATTCAACAGAAAGTGGACCTCTCGTTCGTAGAATGAATCGAGAAGAGATTTTGGTTGTGGTCCTAACTGTAGTAAGGTTTGACCAAGAGGGAGTTTGAGACGATCCTAACTGTTTAAAGGTTTGATCGCTCAATTTGTGAACCTCTCGTTCATGGAAAGAATCGAGAAGGGATTTTGGTTTTGATCCTAACTGTAGTAAGGTTTGACCAAGTGAGAGTTTTGAGACGATCCTAACTGTTTAAAGGTTTGATCGTTCAATTTGTGGATCTCTCGTTCATTGAAGGAATTGAGAGGGGATTTTTGGCTCTGGTCCTAATTGTTTAAAGGTTTGACCGAGTGGGAGTTTTGAGACGATCCTAACTGTTCAAAGGTTTGATCGTTCGATTTGTGGATCTCTCGTTCATTGAAGGAATCGAGAGGGGATTTTTGGCTCTGGTCCTAACTGTTTAAAGGTTTGACCGAGTGGGAGTTTTGAGACGATCCTAACTGTTTAAAGGTTTGATCGTTCAACTTGTGGACCTCTCGTTCATGGAAGGAATCGAGAGGGGATTTTGGCTTTGGTCCTAACTGTAGTAAGGTTTGACCAAGTGAGAGTTTTGAGACGATCCTAACTGTTTAAAGGTTTGATCGTTCAATTTGTGGACCTCTCGTTCATGGAACGAATCGAGAGGGGATTTTGGCTTTGGTCCTAACTGTTTAAAGGTTTGACCAAAAGGGAATTTGAGACGATCCTAACTGTTTAAAGGTTTGATCGTTCAATTTGAGGACCTCTCGTTCATGGAACGAATCGAGAGGAGATTTTGGCTTTGGTCCTAACTGTTTAAAGGTTTGACCAAGATGGACATATAGTATTCTTCCGAGAACTTCCCGTTACATGAACCATCCACCCCCAGCTTTTCTTATGAAACTGGGTTTATCATTATATTCAGCTGTATGATCGGGTTATCCTTAAGAGTACTATGCATAGCGCTCTCCAGGAACTTCCCGTGAAAGAAAGGAAATAGTTTAGACTCGTATACCTTTTGGAGTATCGAGGAGCAGTTTATACTCGTATACTTTTCAGAGTGAGGGGAAACAGTTTATACTCGTGTACCCAATGGAGTTAGGGGAAACAGTTTATACTCGTGTATCCAATGGAGTAAATGGTCGTCTCTATTTGGCTTGTTTCGCCATTATGACGCCGGAGTCAATTAATGCTTGGATCTTGTTTTTTAGTCCAAAGCAAATATTAGTGGGATGAAGAACCCTTCTGTGGTATGCACAGTAGTTTGGATCTGTAATCACCTTAGCTCCCTCCTGATCTTTAATAGGTGGTAGCTCAATCTTGTCGTTGGCGAGGAGGTATTTCAAGATGGCTGGAGCTTCATCATCTTCGAAAGAATATTCCTTTTGAAACCTCGGATCGGGAGTCGTGTTCCCAGTGATTGCAGATGTCGTCGGTCGACTTCTCTCAGCTTT